TTTAGTATTATATACTGGTAAAATAACGTGTTTCAAAAAAATAATATTTATATCAGTTTATAATTATTGCAATGAAATTTTGTTTTAAAAAAAAATTGTTTTTAACTATTCAATCATGTGAATATTCTTCTGTAGATTTCCTCCAAGGTTTATTATACAAAAACTGTTTTTGTCGGAGGTGTTCAAATTAATTTTTTTTCTACCATATTTGCCTAGTTTTTTTTTTTCCTGTAATTTCGGTTCAAGGCGTTTTAAACGAAAAAGCGTTGGAAACTCAATAAAAATGTTGTTTAAACAACAAAATATGATAAAGTAATTATTAGGATTTATAGAAAAAGTGTTCATGTGTATTTTCATGTAAACAAATCGAAGAAAATTTCATCTAAAATGTTTTGATTTTTTACAATTCTTCACAAAAAAGAATTTCTAAAAATATTTAAATCTTTGATTTCTATGGAAGTCCATGAGTAATGATTTTCCTCAATTGCGACTAATCAAGTACTATTAATTCCAGCAACTCAAGTAAGCGTAGAAAGCTTATTTTCAAGTCTTAAGTTCATGTCAGGGAAATTTTTTAATCAGTAAAAAGTCAGGGAACTTTTTAATAATTAGCCAAACATGAACATTTTTTTGAATTTTTTAAAAATTCTTTGGTGCAAGAAAAAGTTTATAATGCTAATAAATGAAATGTTTTCTAGTATCTGAAAAATATTTTAATATTTGATACCTTTTCATTTTTCTAATATTAAATATTTATTAATGAAAAGTTGGAAAAATGTTAGTGAAAAAGTCAGGGAATATCAGGGAAAAGTTAGAGAATTTTTTTTGTACTTCTAGCTGGACACCCTGGATTATTTCTGTTCGGAAAATTCTACATTTTGTTCAATTATTTAGAATTTTAATGTTCATATTTATAAAATAAATTTATAAATAAATTATGAGCAATTATAATACATTTATTTTGTTCTAAATAATTATAAATATAAATAACCCAAACCGGAATCCCTGGACGAAAAATAATTTACCAGAATTTCATTTTGATCGAAAGGTTAGGTCTCGTGTAATATTAATAGTAATTTAAAATAATCCAAATTTTGAAGAAAAATTTTTTATAATAATTATACACACTGAGAAAAGTTAAAAACAGATTTAGTACTAAACACACGTTCAGATAGTGTACCTAACCTTTCGAGCAACATCGATTCTAATTTCTAAATTGTATCGCAGATGCGCTTTTTGGTGGACATATACTGTACTAAATCGTTTGTTCCACAAGTTAGGTCAGAATCTGTAGTTAATTGGCGCTGCTGGTGTTTGATTTTAGTACTGCGCATGCTCATGATTGAGGTACAATATCTGTCCCTCAAAAAATGCAGATATTGCGTTAAACTTCTCTCAGTGCAGGGTTTCTACAAATTTCTCTTTGCGAAATTCCATGATTTTTCCAGGATTACCAGTTGATAACGAACTTGTAAATTTGAGTCTTAGATACGAAAATTCGAGGGGGAATTTACTAGTAAAAATTGTGTACACTTGACTACAACTACACATATTACCATTATTACCTTAGTATTAAACTTTTTACAAGTATTACATACTACTACCAAAATATTACTGCATTACAAAGTATTACACATATATTACTGAGTATTACTCTTTATTACAAAAAATATTACACGTCAAATAGCACTTTCTTATACGTAGAACTTTCAATAAAATTACTTAAAATTATTATTTAATAGCAAAACTTTAAAATAAGAAATAGAGAAATAAATAATTAAATATTTTTAAATATTAGGGTAAGTTCATCTATTACGGCGCGTTCATAAAAAATAACTATTATTACTATTATATTTAATATAATTGTTACAAAATGATTAAAAAAATTATTTTAATCTTTTTTTTGATACAATTATTAATGAAGATGCACATTTAAAAAATTATTAATTAAATTATTTGAGATCAAATTTTTTCCCTCGCCGTAATTGAAACATTTGTAATATTTCCATTGGCTCCAATTTTGGCGGGCAAAGTGTCTTCAAAATACACCTAATTTTGGTCACCGAAATTGATACAAACGCGCAGCAATAGAAAATTACGGTATTAGTTTTAATTTCTCATATTTGTTTAAATAATCGATTTTTATAAAATTAAACATTTTTTTTAATATCTAAATAACATATAACCTTTTAGTTGAATAAGTCTTAAATTGAGTTTATACAATAGAAATGTCGAATTTTCTATTTCAAAGGTGTTTTGACTCGAATCGCGCCGCAATTAGTGCCATTTACCCTACTTATAAAAGAAAATAATAAATTTCTCTTTTTTAAAACGTAAATAACATTATTATTTCAAATGTTTTGAAATTTCTTTTAAAGAACACGATAAATATAACTTATTTGTTTTTAACATTGGACGCACTGAAAAAAAAGTTCTGGTTAAAGTTACTAGATGCGTTTGGTTAAAAAATTTCTAGTTATTTTAACAAGAAAATATAGTTAAAAAGACTAAACAGTTCTAGTTAAATAAGTATGGTTAAATTATTCTGGTTAAAATAATTCTGGTTAAAAACGCGCGTTCGCGGACACTGCATAGCGTCTGTTATTCTTTTTCGAATAGTTTATCGTGCGGATCGCAAGAATGGATGAAAAAGTTAACCAAGCTCTGGAAAATTGGGGTTTGGGAGAATTAAAAGATCTGTTTAAAGGTTGGTTAATTAATTTTATAATATAAGTGAAAAAATTGTTGACGAACGGCAAACCCGTTCGTGTGGAAAATAGTTTGAAGGTTATGTTGAAAACGTGCTCGACACGTTTTATCAGAATTTTAGTTCTGAATAATCATATTTAAATAAACATTATTAAGAGAATTGCAGTGTAAAGGTGTTATTGTTTGATTGCATTTATATGTACATAATACAAATTTTTTTAATTCATATTTTATAATATTTTATAATATAATATAATAATAATAAATTTAATTAATTCTCTGATTAACTAGAATTTCTGGTAAGATCAACCAGAAATTTTTTTAACAAAAATTTTTAACTAGAAAAATTCTAGTAAGATTAACTTGAAATTCTAGTAAGATTAACTTGAAATTCTGGTAAAATTAACCAGAATTTTTTAACCAAATTTTCTAGTACTTTTAACCAGAAAAAGTAGTAAGGGTATATATAACTTTTTATTCTGGTTAGATTAACCAGAATTCTGGTTATTTTAACCAGACTTTTTTTTCAGTGCGAGGAACTAAACAAATATAATTTTCTATATTATAATATCCGTGAGCATCCATGTTTATAACGTTTAATATTTGGTTTTTTGCTATCATAAACCACGAACACAAACAACCTAAGCATCGTGCATTTTATTTCGGTGTAATTACAGGAGCAGATGCCTTACTGTAGTCGATTTTTTTACTTATTCCGGTAAGGTAGCTAAAAGTCGGCCAATTACTAAAGAACCATCTTCTAATTTGATTCTGTAAACATTCGATACCGCCACCTATGGCAAAGTTGCTATACTTCAGCATCAACTCCTGCGCTACATTTAAACAAGTGTTTAAAATTTTTACTTATTATTAACATGTTTTGGTTTGATTTTCTTTAAATTTTTTAATGTATTACACCATAATACCACAATATTACAAGTATTACACAGTATTACATGGTATTACACAATAATACTTATTATTACAAGACATTACAAAATATTACAGGTATTACCGAGTATTACCAGTCAAGTGTACACTTGACTACCAGAGTAAATTACCCCTCGCAAAAATTGAAAAAAATTCCATGATATGATCAGAAATTCCATAATCTTCCCACGTGAAAAGATTACCGGTAAACTCCGCGAAGTAGCTCCGCGGAATTTCCGCAGAGCAGCTCTGCGGATTTTCCGCGAAATTTCCGCAAATTTTTTTTTTTGCATAATAATATATTTATGTTAATATTTAAAATAATATAAAATTAAATTGTGTATATTCTACTTAAAATTACTTTTTAATTTTTAGTTAACAAGTGAGAGAAGACTTTGACACTAATTTTGTTAAGAAAAAATTGAAAACTATAAAAATAGGTTCACGGTTATAGCCGGTAAAGATGTATGTATTTTTCTTTTCTACTTAAAAAAGTAATCCCAAAATTGATATCAGATTATTGCATTAAAGAGAGTTAAATATATAATAGATTAAATAGTTTTTTACTTGTATTTATCCTTTTTATAAGACAATAATAAAATTCATTTCATATAAAAATTTTATTAATAAAAAAATAAAAATGCATTTGCCATATGATACTGATTTCTATTTATTTAATAAAATTTATTTCACTCATTATATATTTTAATTTTTAGTAGGGTTAAATTAGGTTACAATTAAAACTTTCAGAAAATAACTTTATAATCTAAATACAGGTTATAAGCTCTTAAAAAGGTTTGGAAAAAGAAATGATTTCCCGGTCGTTACCGTTACTTATTGATGGCTTCGTAATATGAAAATTTTATACGACATGTTTAATTTCCCCAAAAAATTGTATTCTTGCTGCTGCCTAGTTCTTGAGTGACATCGATTTGTTATTCTTCTAATGCTTCGTATTTTCATCATGTCTTGAAATGTTAAAATCCTTAAAAAATCCTTACTGATTGTAACCACGAAACTATCCTAAAGGTTATCAATATTTTTTTTTTAAAATTGACGTGTCTAACAGTAAATCTTGTCTCAGTTGTTAACTAAAGTATAAAACGTAATTTAAATAGAATGTATTGAATTAAATATTATATTACTTTAAATAATAACATAAATATATTATTATGCAAAAAAAAAAATTTGCGGAAATTTCGCGGAAAATCCGCGGAGCTACTTCGCGGAGTTTACCGGTAATCTTTTCACGTGGGTTTCCATGATTCCATGATCCAAAATGAAATTTCATGACATTTCCATGTTATCCATGATTTGTAGAAAATTTTTATATAAAATAATTATATTTTTTTTGATTTCAGAACCACAAAAGCTACAAATAATTCAACAATACTTGAGGTCGTCAGGACGGAATGTATCAACGAGTGAGAATTTCACTTCCTTTACTTCCGGTTTGGAGCACCTAATAGATGAGCAGAATGTGTCGACTGATGTGGTGCCTACACTCCCTGTAGGTGTGCTTTTAAACGCAAGCCTCTCGTTTCCGGAGGCAAACGAAGAACCAACGGAAACGGAAACCGAAGTGTATTCTTCTACAACTACTACTACTACTATCACTAGCACCACCATAGAGGCAATGTTGGATTTAAATTCCACAAGGCACTGTGACGATTGTTTCAAAGGTGAGGTGTGCGTTGCACTTGTTGGCGAGGAAGTGCCTATTTGTAGAACTGGACCGGATCCTCTGGACCCAACTGGCTGCTCGGGTCTTTGTTTAATCAATAAACAAAAGTGCCATCGATTAGATATCGACGCCTTTAGGTGAGATTTTCTTTTTCAAAATTCTCTAGCCATCAATATAAAATTAGAACTCATATATATGAATAATGTCACATAATTTCATTACCTAAAATTTATATATAGCTGAATTTTCATTTTTTCAAATTATTATTTTACAGAAATTCCATTAACCGAATTTCTATATTACAGAATTGTTATACTTAAACGAATCTTCATTTTACAGACCTTTTATTTTATCGAATTTAAAGTTGTGTGAATTATTATTTTTTGGCAAATATTTTAAAATTAGATTTTAATTATTTCTAAAAAATATAATGTTATAAATAAGAATAAATTAATTTTGTATTACAAATATATATAATCTAATTTTAAATTGTCCCTCAAAAAATCGCATCTATTTTTTTTTGTATGCCAAAAATTAATGAGGTGGTCTTATTAGAATTTTGAACCCCCCCTCCCCCTATGTAACGCATCGTAACAAAATCATTTTACCCCTCCCCCCCTATCCTTGTTACGTAATTTTTCAAAATAGTTTCATTTTTGTTTTTCTAAACAAATTTGTTTATTATTTTTGACTGTAATATTCATATCGCACAATAGTAATAAAAGAATTAAAAATTAAATATACAAAACTTGAAGATAAATAATTTTATTGATCACAGTGAACAATTAGAATTATAACATTGATTTTTTAATACTAATTTTACATTTAGAATTGTAATCAATAATACTGATATAACTTTATAGCTATAATCTCTTTTTTATATTACTAAATATAATGTTATTTCTAATCACAGTAAGTAATTAAAATGATATTACTTATAGTAATTTTTTTTTAAAAATGATTTTATAATTTTCATTATAATCAACATGATACTAACATAAGAATAATAAAATAGTTACTCTTGATCACAGCGAAAAATTACAATTATATTATAGGAGCAGTTTTTTTTTTTTTAAATTAGTAATTCTAGAAAAAAATTAATGTTAAAAATATTACGTAACAATGAAGATTACCCCCCCCCCCTCCTCCATGTAACAAATGATAACATTTTCTCGAACCCCCCCCCTAAAAGTGTTACGTAATTTATGGATGGCCCCTTATTATTTCTATATACCATTGTTATTTTAATTGTATAATTATTTTGTGATTAATTGGGGCTTTAATAATCATTTTGATTAAAAAAATAATTTTGAAATATTTAAAAATATGCAAAACTTCGGGACGCATGAATAAACTCTAAAATTAATTTGTTTGAATTTTATTTTCACAGAATTTCATTACCTAGAAATTATTTTTAGTCGAATTTTTATTTCTTCGAATTATTATTTTACAGAAATTCCATTTAATTGAATTTATATATAAATATATATATTTTATACAGAATTCTTACTTGAACTAATTTTTATTTCATCTAATTTGAATTTGACAAAATTATTATTTACTCGAATGGAAAATTATTAAATTTTTATTTAGTAGAATTAGTCTTATGGAATTTTTGTGACGTAAAATTTAAAATTATCGAATTTCTATTTAGCTTAATTTTAGAAAATGGTCCGAAAATTTTCATAATAAAATAATTTTTATTTAACAGAATTGTTTTTTTTTTATAACAAATTTCTATATTTATTAGAATATTCACTTAACAGTATTTTTATTATAACTAAACTTGACGAATGACGTAAAATCATTGTTATCGCACTGTAAGTGTTTTTTTGTTGCAAAAAATTTACATATATGATATTTTTGTACATTTTCAAATATAGAGAAATTTTAAATTCTAATTGACGTACACAAATTGTTTCGTTTTGGCATAGGAAAATATTGATTAAAATTATAGTCAATTTTACTAAATAATTTAATATATCAAATTAATCCGTAGGGAAATCGGGAAAAATTCTAATTTAGGCTATCGTTTTTTTTTCCTATTGACAGTTTTCTAAACCGCAGCGAATCTGTTACTATTGGCAAAACTGTAAAATCAAATTAGATTTGAACTTTTTTTAAAAGTTGACATTTAAATATTATAAAAATTTCAAAAATTGAAAAATGATCTTATAAAATTTAAGGTTTTCACAGTTTTCTTGTGTGTATCAAATTGATACAAGAATTAAGATCAACTCATGCAACGTTATCAATCAATATAAGGTATCAAATTGATCCAAATATTTGGATCATTTTCAAGAAATGATCCAGAATATGGGATCATTTTTTGATACCTAAATTGATATCAAAGTATAACTGTCATGGCTGGCATGCTCTTATTGACAAGTTTATTAATTAATTTATTCACTGCACTGAATATTCAGATATTAAAAATACTTTTATTATGAATTTTAAGAAGGAGAGAAGCGAAAACTTACAAATTGCGAGCAATTAAATAAGAAAAAATTTATTTCGAAATAAAATGAAAGACACTAACCTTTATTTATGTTTATCACATAAGATTTAAGTTAAGTTCACAATCACAACACTTGAAAATTTTTAATTTTTTTTATGGTTCAAAAAATTATTAATAAATTATTTATTATAAATGAACAAAATTTAAGCAATGCACGCTTGATAAATATTTCTAATGCGTTGTCAATTAATGCAATTAATAATTTCCTATTACACAATATCATAATCGACATATATCACAGAAAATTAAAAGGCATTAAAATAGCTGCAACGCTTATTATTTTAATTCAATTTTGCTTATTTTAATACCAAAATGGATTAAAATAAGTAAAATTGGATGAAAATAATAAGCGTTGCAGCTTATTTTAATGCCTTTTAATTTTCTGTGATGACATTTGTAAATAAGCAGGGTTGGGAAACAAGAGCCCAAAATATGTTCGTCCAAAGCAGAGTTGGGTAGGATTCTGATCCATGTTTAAGGTTAACGCACATGTAATTTTGAAATAGGGAAAAACTGAATAATTATTTTTTAATAGTTTTGTTAAAAATAATTTGAACTGTAAAAATAATGAAAAAAATTCAAATGTTGCGATCTTTTTTCAGACAAATGGAAATTCTATTAATTAGAAATTCTGATAAGAGTGTTGAACGTTGTCTTGATCAAAAACATGAAAAACTATAGTCTGTTTCACGTTCACCTCTTAATTGCAATGTTCTAACTAATGAAATTTAATGTTTAATGTTAAAATTAAATGTTTAATGTTAATTTAAATTTAATGTTTCAATCAATGAAACTAAACTATACTTTTATAAACAGGTTGAGAACCTTTTCGTGATAACTGAGCGCTCATAGCGAGAATTTGGAAAATGCATACACTTTTTGAAAATTATTGTTGGACATAATTTCAATACTTCCCAACTCTGCTTTGGACGAACATATTTTGGGCTCTTGTTTCCCAACCCTGTTTGTTTACAAATGTCATATATATCGATTATGATATTGTGTAAAAGGAAATTATTAATTGCATTAATTGACAACGCATTAGAAATATTTATCAAGCGTGCATTGCTTAAATTTTGTTTATTTATAATAAATAAATTATTGATAATTATTTGAACCATGAAAATAATTAAAAATTTTCAAGTGTTTTGATTGTGAACTTAACTTAAATCTTATGTGATACATAAACATAAATAAAGGTTAGTGTATTGTTTTTTAAGTTTTAGAATCAAATGGCAATTTTTAATGAGTAGGAAAAAAATGTCCTCTTTTCACCAATTATTCATTTGGACAATTTATTTTGAAGCAGTTTTTCTTTAAAATTATTCATAAATGCTGTTTAATATTTATTAGATAATAATATATAACCCTTTGTCTCTCATATTGTAAAAACAGTTTTTATTGCCGCATCTGTTTTCCGTGCAATAAAGAATACCACAAACTGTATATATAATGCCGTAATGGTAGAGTTAGTCGTTTCTGCCACAATAATAATTTCTCCTGGCAGAAGATCACAGTCTTAATGCGCGGTTAGAACAACTCGCTAACTTGAAGTACTTATACAAAAGTACAGCGAGAAAATACAATATAATTTTTACGTCCTCTTTTACCTTCATTATAAAGTAGGCTTTGTGCAAATATTCACCATTGCTTGAATATTGTTTCTTTTCATCAAATTTAAAGGGATGACTTGTACTTCACTTTAACTATCAACCATGAAAATGTGTCTGGTATTTTTCTACTACTGTGATTATTATTTCTGTATTATTATTATTATTATTTCTGATTATTTCTCTTTCGAAAAAAGACGAGTTTAACTTATAAATAATTGTTAATCAAACAAAAAAATACTAAAAGAGCAATAGAATCTTTTTTCTATATAAGTATAAATATTTCAATTAAATCAAATAAGGGACACATGAATATGTTCTAAAAATCATTAGGGTCAGCTGGGGTAAATCCGAACGCTTTTAGTAAGTTTCAACAATAACATAAGTTTTTTCTTTTAAAAGACAATACTTCCGGTATTCTGGTGCATATGAAGTAGTTACTTTACTTCCATAGAACAATTTTATGGGGTAGCAAAAGTTTTTGATAAATTACAATCGCAGGAAACTTAGCGTTCGTATTTACCTCGATACTTTGCAACTTTCCTAAAATACCGGGGTAAATACAAACGCCACTGTATTTCAGAAAAATCTTAGGGAAAATAAATTTAAAGTATTGCAATTGTTAAACTTATATAAAAACTCAAAAAAATACAATAATAAACCTATTATGTAATAATGCATCATTTATATAAATACAAAAATCAAACAGGTTAAAAATTAAAATGCATTACACAATTAAAACCTTCAATAACTTTACCAAATCATAACGGATTTTTGCAAAACTTGCTACAGAAAGTATTTTGGAGTGATTGAATGTAAATACACAAAAAAAAGTCAAATTTTTTAAATTCGAAATGGCCGCCATTTTGAATTTTGAAAAACTGACTTCAAATTGGTAATTAGCGACCCCAAAAACCGTAGAATACCAAATTTTATTAAGATCCTGAAAAACTGTTTTCAACAAACCATTTGGCAAAAAAATTGAAACACTCCTTCGAGAGAACAGAGATTAAGTTTCTGCTTATTAATTACTAACGAGGATACATATAGAAAGAAAAACTTTTTTCTATGTACTTTTATAATGTTAAAATAATAGTGTAATCAAATAAAAACAATTTTTGATATAAGAAAAAATTATTGAAAATACCGTTCGGATTTACCCCGGTTTTACAATTTTCCGGGGTAAATACGAACGGTCTGATATTATTAATAAAATTTTACAGAAGGCAAAAATGAAAAATAGTTTCTGTTCTACTATTCATAACAAACAATTATAAATAATAAAATGAATTTTTAGCTTCTTTTTCTTCAAATACGAGACAAAATACTGAAAGAGTGTCATCTTTGATTTTCAATCTTTTTTGCAATACTCCTTATTTTTGTTTATGCTGTTGCTAATTAACAAACGAAAAATGGGATAATACTTAGAATCTCTAGAAGAGGATCTGAGATAAAAATTCTCATGTCTAACTTATTTTTTAAAATTTTAACTAAGCTGAAATAATTAGCGTTCGGATTTACCTCAGCTGACCCTAGTTAGAATTTTCATTTTATGGAATTTCATTTTTTCATAATTATTTTTGAGCTGAATTTTTATTTATTCGAATTAATATTTTGCAGAATTTTCATCAAATCGATTTTTTATATTACAGAATTTTTATTTGCTCTAATTTTCATTTAACATAATAGGCATTTTAAAGAATTTTTATTGAGTAGAATTTCATTGCATAGAATTTTCATTTTATTCTTTCAGATGAATTTTCATTTGTTCGAATTATTATATTTCATATAATTTCCATATAACCGATTTTTCATATTGCAGAATTTTTACTTAACCAAAAAATCATGTAACAGAATTTCTTAATTGATATAGGAATTTTCATTTGTCCGAAATTGCAAATAGCCGAACAAACAATTGACAGAAAGATTTCGTCGCGATTTTTAAAATCAACCAATCACAATTTTATGGATAATTTTTAATTTGTTAATTTTAAAAATCGCGCCGAAATCTTTCTGTCAATTGTTTGTTCGGCCATTTCCAATTTCGGACAAATGAAAATTCTATCAATTAGAAATTCTGTTAAATGATTTTTCGGTTAAGTAAAAATTCTGTATTATGAAAAATTGGTTATATATGGAAATTATATCAAATAATAATTCGAACAAATGAAAATTCATCTGAAAGAAAATTCTATGCAATGAAATTCTACACAAGAAAAATTCTTTAAAATGCCTATATTATGTTTAATGAAAATTCGAGTAAATAAAAATTCTGACAAATAAAAATTCAATGAATGGAATTTTTGGTTATATAAAAATTCTGTAATATAGAAAATCGGTTTATTGAAAATTCTGCAAAAATACTAATTCGAACAAATAAAAATTCGGCTCAAAAATAATTATAACAAATGAAATTACATAAAATGAAAATTCTAACTAATTATTTTTAGAACATATTCATGCGTTCCTGAAATAAATAGTAAATTAAAATACCTCTTTAACTATATATGTTTTCTCTTGTGCGTTAAGAATAAAAATATATCTATTGAAGCGTAAGATGGAAATTGTTTTATTTTATTTGTTAAAATTGTGTTTTTTTTTGCAGATGTATGGATCTTGAACACTACTGTTTGGATGACGAGTGGACGTGTAAAAACTCTCTCTGCATCCCTTTAGTGAAGCATTGCGATGGTACAATGAATTGCTATGACCATTCTGATGAATACAATTGCGGTGAGTTAGCGATAATCTTATGTTCCTTTTATAAGTTTCTCATTTCTCTTTGTTAGTTAACAATATATGATGTATTCCACGCCAAAATTTTTCTTTTAGTACTAATTGAGACTAGCTTCCTTGAATTTTTACAAATTTTTTTAGCAAGTCATTTTCGAATTATGAAATTTTGAAAATTTGGAGAATTTTCACGAATTTTAATTTTTGAATGCTCATAAAATCCTTAAAAATGCATCAATTGTAAAAGTCTTTTTTTACAAAATGTGTGTTTCTAAACGTACTTTTCAAAAAAAAAAAAAATCGAAAATTTTGTTTTAAGGCCATGTGGGAAATACCCACGTGACCCCCATGCAAAAAACATGGTATCGTATTCCCAAGTTTTCTCTAAAATGGTAAAGAATTTTTAGTTGAAATTTGTAAAATATGACAGAGAATAGCATTCAGAATGGCGCTGTTCTCAGTTTGAAGCACAATTTTGAGTTTAAGTATTAAAAATAAAAATTTGGAAATTCCCATTTTTAAACGAAAGTTGAAGTCAACATGGCGGGGGTCCAGGAACTAGCGCCAATTCGAGTTAGTGGCCACTCAAAGAAATAATAAAAACCTATTAACTCCGCTTTAACTTAAATTTTTAAATTATTTCGCATTCAATTACAGTAAATAAGTAGAACAGCCCAATTCCTTCAACACTTTTTTTTACTATTCCTCAAAATTTCAACCCGAAATTTCTTCTCATTTCCAAAAATACTTGGAATTACCAAAAAGTGACTTTGTCTCACATGGCGTTAATTAAAAAAAATTTATTTAGCCTAAATAAAATATTTACTGAAATCAAATAAAATTTATTTGGTTCTGAGAAAAATATATCTTTCTTCACTTCTATTGAAATTTCAACTTTTAACCTATGGATATTATTGATAGGCGTCAATTTCTTTTTCTACAATTATTTAAAATCTAAAATTATTCTATTATGAAAATTATGAAAAAATTGACTAATTTTATATTTTTTCAAAAAGTGATATTTGTCTCAAAGCAACTTTCAATAATAATCCCGTTTACTTATAAATAAAAATTAAAAAATTTAATTTGAAAAAAAATTAATCAATTTTTAATTTTTATATACCAATCATTGAAATACTGTAATTTTATTAATTTAATTTAAAAGCGGAAAGAAGGTCACGAATTTTTGTTTATTGTAAATATAGTAAATAACGTGTAGGGGAGACCGGGGCTGAAAGTGCCGATTTTGAGAAAACTAAAGAAAATACTAGTAAAATGACAACTTTTTATTTTACTTCATAGTCTATCTTTTGTGAAATTTAATGTAGTTTTTGAATCCAGTATTATTTTTTGATAATATTGAATAGTTTTTTTGTAAAAATTGATTTTCTGCAGCGAGGCGAAGCGACACATCGAGCTACGCCCTGGGGAGAGTTGTGCCGACGCCTGGGTCGGTTGTGCCGCTCAGATTTTGTAGTTGCTTAACTTGAAGCAAATGATTTTACGTGTAAGAAATAAAATAATTATTTCCAATATATGATTTAATATTATTTATTAATATATTTTTATAAACATTTAAAGGTTTTTGTGAACAATCTTAGGATTTCTAGATTTTAGTACCACTTTTAGTAGGTAAAAATAAACAATTTCTGACTTATATTCTATAATTACATAGTTAGTCAGTCACTTAAAATATAGTTTTCGTAATAAGTATTTTTATTATAAACATTCAAAAGATTTTTCCAACAATCGTAACACTTATAGATTTTTATAAATAAATAAACATTTCTGACTTAAATTTTACAATTACATAATTAATCAGTCTTTTAAAATATTTTTTCAAATAATTATTTGTATCGTTAATTAAGTGTAAAAACTCTACTTTCTGATTAATAAATAGTTTTTGAGACGTAAATACTTATTCCGAATGCGATTTATTGAAATTACAATTGACACACATATAACTGACCCTTTTTTTTACACTTCACACATTTTCAATGTGCCCAGTTTTTGCAAACTATGCATTGAATCAACTTTTCTCTTGATTTCGGGTTGGAATAACTATTCGAACAAACGAGGCAATAGTATAGATTATGGTTATGTAGCGATTGACAGCGGCACAACCAGCCCCAAGCGAAAGGCACAATTAACCTCGTTGCGTCAACGCTCACTTTTTATCATATATTAAAAAAGTAGATAAATAAAATGTTAAGATCAATACACCATTGAATCCCTCGATAAATTTGGATCATTTTAAAAAAAAATACGTATCGATATCTTTAAAAATGCAAAAAATAGACCAAAAAGTGTAAACATGAAAACTTGCACGTAAGTGACGCCAAAGCACCAAATTACTAACAGCTAATTATTCCATAAAGCAAACAAAATCAAAATAGTTGCCAAAGATGCGCCTAAGTAAAACAATACTTCTCTCCCTTCCACTTTTCAAAAAAAAAATTTTCTTTTTGAGATATTCCTATCGGCACAACTTACCCCCGGCACTTTCAGCCCCGGTCTCCCCTATTTGAAATTTTGAATTAAGTAAAATTTTTATTTGAATTAAATAAAATTCACTATTGTATTAAATAAATAAAATTTATTTGAAGCAAAGAAATTTACTTCTTATAGACAAACAAATTTTTTTTTCCGTGTGTATTAAACAAAAAAATTGTAATAATTCTTTTTTTTTTATTGAAAAAGCATACTAAAAAAATTGAATATTAATTATAATAAGAATAATTAATTTTTTTTTCAGAATGTAATCTAGAGACACACTTTCAGTGTGGGAACGAGACTTCCTGCCTTCCTTTAGATAAAAAATGCGATGGGAAGATAGATTGTTGGGACGCAACAGACGAGATAAACTGTACATTAGGTAATTAATATTCCTTTCTACAGTTTTACGATATTTTAAGTAATTAAGTATCTAGACTCAAAACACTCATTAATCGTCGTATATAATTAGCCACAGATTTATTGTAGTTTTTCTTTTCATTTCTTTTTTGTTTGTTTTTTTTTTTTTTTGTTGAATTGGCAATTTTATATTAGATAAATATATTATAGAAATTTATATATAAATTGTCAGTATTAAATTACTCATATGTATAATGGACAGTTTAGAAACCTTGACTTATAAAAATTGAATTGATAAAATAAATTTTATTTTATTTCAGCATGTCCTTTAGAGAGTGAGTTCACTTGTAACGATGGACAATGTATATTGAAGGCACGTTTCTGCGACGGATTGCGGGATTGCGTGGATGGATCTGATGAACCGCACGGATGCCAAGGTCGCTGTAATAAGCACGAATTTACATGCCAGTGAGTATAAAACTAGTCACGTTTGCATAAATTCAATCGTTATAAGATATTTAAAAACATCCAAAGCGAATCTTCATTTAAAAAAAAAAAAAAAAAAAAAAAAAAAAAACTAGTTATACATATATCTCTTTTTTTTTCTCTTCTCAGCCTTTGAAACTAAAAATAAAGTCCATAATTAATATTAATTCATTTCTGGAATCTGAAAATGTATGTAACTAAATTAAAGAACATTTTTTGAACAAGATAAAAATGTAAATTTTAAAATACAAAGAATATCTATTAAACACGCGTCGTTGATAGTAAATTCTCAAAAAAGTCTTATCAGTTATTAACTGTAGGGGTTTTACATGGAAAAAAATATTGATTAAATAAAAATTCTTTGAAATAAAAAATTATGTAAATAAAAATTCTATGCAATCAAAATTCTGTCAAAAACTATTTCGTTTAAATTTTGTTAAATTAATATTTGGCTAAAGAACAATTTACTAAGAAATGGAAATTCAATGAAATACAAAAAATTTAAATACAAATACCAAATTAAAATTTGATTATTTAAAAATTTAGTCAAAAGTATATTCGTTTAAATATAATTATTTATAAATACGCGTGTAAGAAATTGAAAGAAAATAAATTTCAACAATTTTATTAAAAATTTTCTTGACATTTCAAAAATTTCATGAATAAAAATAAAATTCCATGAGAATTCCAGATATTTCAGGTGTTGTAAAAAGTTTGCAATTGACAAAAATAATTAAGTTAAAACGAAAAGTTGTTTATTAATTAAATTAATTTCAACAAAAATAATTTTATTTGTTTAAAATATTATATGTATAAAAAAAAAGAAAAACACCAATTTGAATGTATTAATTTATTTAATATAATTAATTACTTATTATTATTTAAGTATTATAATTTTAAGAATAAGAAAAAGGAAACTTCAATAATTTTTTTTCTCAAAAAAAAAAAAAAAAAACAAAAAAATACCTTTTTTATATTCAAACTATAGTTTCATAACTTATGAAAGTTTATTTTATTTTTAAAAAGTTTGAAAAAAAATCGTTAGTCGCTAACATGTTTTAAATAAACAATGAGAAATTGTTATTTAAAAAATAAATCTTGATTCGCATAAATAAGCTCAAAAATTAATTTATTAGAATTTTCATTTCATCGAAATTTAATAGAAATTTCTATATATTACAGAATAATTACTTAAACGAATTTTCATTGTACAGTCTTTTTATTTCATCGAATTTGACAGAATTATTATTTGCTCAAATTTTCATTACACAGAATAGTAAATTTAAAAGAATTTTTATTTTACAGAAAAAATTCCTAGAGAATTTCTTATAGAAAGAATTAATTTCTAGACGAATTTTTTAATTTCTTCGAATTTATATTTGACAGAATTTTTATTTTACAGAACTTTCATTTGTCTGAATAAATTTCTGTTAGAAAAATTTGAGTGCTAATTTTAAAATTAATCAGAAATTATCAACGAAATTATGATTGGTTAATTTTTAAATTAGAGTCCAAATTTTTCTGCCACATATTTATTCGGACAAATGAAATTTCTGTATAAAATAAAAATTCGTTGTTTAAAGAATTCTGTAAAATATTTAAATTTAAAGAAATGAAAATTCGACTAGAAAAAAAAAATTCTTTCTAATATTCTTTTTGTGAAATAAAAATTCTTTTAAATTTACTATTCTTATTAAAATTTCAGCAAATAATAATTTTTTACAATTCAAATTCGATAAAATAAAAAGTCTGTAAATTAAAAATTCGTTTAAATAACAATTTCTTTATATGGAAATTCGTATAAATGGAATTTCTGTTAAATAATAATTAGAAGAAAAAAAATTTTCCTGAAAGTAAATTCTAATAATAATAATAATAATTCTTATTAACAAATAGCAAATTCTTTTTTTTCTACGATCGCACGGTTTACAAAATAAAAAAAAATCTTGAAAAAAATTACCATAATTGTTTAATTGAAAATAACGTACAAAATAATTGAAATTTTCCAATAATACACGTGACAAACTTATTTAAAATCCTGAACATTTACAAATTAATAAAAATTAAAAAATCTATTCTCGATCAATGCTTTCTTTTAGATGGAATGACCCGAATTCAACTTTCTTATATAATATCGTGGGCGTAACGAAATTAATCGATGACTTGTTGACATTCACTATTTATTTGATTGTATATTATTTACAAGTATAATTATGCAAATAAAAGCCTTTGCTTTTTTTTTTTTTAATCAATTTTATTATGAATGAATTTTGAATATACGAATTTGGATTTGAATTTATTAACAAGCATTGAACTCAAAGTGATCATAAATCACTCTTTTGTTGGAATGAAATATTATCGATAAGTGCAAAAAAAAAAAAAAAAAATTCTTTTTTTTTCTCCCAACAAATGGCACAAAAATGCAAACTAGTTCTCTCGACCTGTTAATATTTCTTTTTACGACGTTGCGTTGCATGCTACGGAAATATTAGTTTTAACATATCTTCTTTTTTTTTTGTCTTTGAAATTTTCACTTAATACACAACATGTTATTCTAATAATGGCAATAATACTGCTTTTAACTTTGTAATTTACATTTCAAGTAAATTCATTTAATTTTATTATCTTAAATTCATTAACTTTTATTATGTTAACAGGAATGGCAGATGCATCACAAAGAATTTAAAATGCAACGGAATTGATGACTGCGGAGATGGAACAGATGAGCAATTGTGTCGAGATCGGACTTAGATATTTTTTTAAAACTGCATGAAAAAAAAGAAAAATAAATAAATAATCGTATTGTCACGATAAAAAACAGTATTTTAAATAGAGAAGCGCAAGTAATATAATTATTGTATAATATTGTATAGGAATATATTAATTATATATATATATAAAAAAATGAAATAATTATTAATAAAAAGTTATTATTAATTAAAGCTGTTTTTTTCTCACTTATTGGAAAATAAAAAAAACCTGATAATTTTTTTAGTACAATTCATTTTATTACACGACAAAATTGATTCACAATTTTTATTTGTTTTTTTTTTTTTATAATTGCCGATTTTATAGTCGGAAATAATTTTTATTCGTTACAATTGTAAACTTAAGTTTCTAATATGTTTATATTGTTGACAAATAATATTATCATTATTATTAGTTTTGTCCAAAGTATTTTTAAATAATGAAATTAATTTTTCAAATTATACAAAGCAAAATATACGATGAAAAATCACATATTTCTTTTATTCAAATAATATTTCAATTTTATAGTCATAACGTAAAATATACTTTATTCTCTTTTATAGTAAATAAAAATATATATTTAAATGTAGGATTGAATATTATTTCCGTGTTTAATTTTTTTTTTTTCTGCAAATGTTTTTACATTTAAATATTTTTTATGACAAGAAAAAATAAGTCAAAAAAAAAAAAAAGAAAAACTATGAAATTATTTGTTTCATATATCTAAAGTGAAAAATTACGTTATATTACATATTTTTTTTTTAGGGATCTTTTTTAAATTCTAAACAAATTTCGTGTATTATTATGATAATAATAATATGAAAATCTATTGTTTTTAAATTCAATGTTGTACTAGCATATTTTCAAATGGAAAATATATGTATAATTTAATTTTTTTTTTTATGTGAAGGAACAAAAAAAAAAATTTATAAAATGGAAATATTTTACAAAAATTCATCTGGTTCTCGGGGTGCATCGAGGTCACGGTAATGAATAACTGGTCTGAAATCGCCACCTCCTCTGAAAATGGAAAAAATAAGCAAAAATTAATTTACTGATGAATTATTTTGAATTTAAAAAATATTTAAGAAAAATGAACGCTATTTTTATGTAATTTTAAAAAATAAAACAAACAAACAAACAAAAATGTTTGATATAAATTATTGTATATTATAGAATGAAAATTTGATAATTTCATTTATTTTATTCTATAAACATTTTAACGTAATTAATAAACTTTCACTATTTTATACATAAGAGACGTTAGACCAACTGGACAAGGATACCAGTGGAATGGGAAAAATAAAAAACAACTGATTAGCAACAAACACGTTTATTTGTTCCCCTTACTAACCGGCTGTTTCTCTCTATGTACAACGCCGTACGATTTTTTTTTTCGTTTTTAATTAGCGTATAATTTAAATTAAATTATATTATAAACGTAAATTATTTATTAGAGAAACTTTTTTTTTTTTTTTCATTTTGTAATTATATGATGCGAAAGTCGAGTTAATTCACCCGAAAGTTTTCTCTCTTTTTTTCTTTTAACTTATTATTTTCGTTATCTTTATAATCCGTAAGTACCTGTTTTTAAAAAAGAAAATATAATTATTTATAATTTCATTGATCAGAAAATATGAAAATTCTTCAAAATTCTGATTTTGTTAATCAAAAAAAGCTAAAGTCAAGTGACAAAATCTCGAGATTAAAAAAATAATATAATTTTTTTTTTCTATACTTTCTCGCGCACTGTTTTTTTTTATGAATCTAATAATACTTTATTAAATATACTGATTAATTTTTGAATTTAAAATATATCCATGTCTGGCTGGTCCAAGTCATTATAATTAATAATAGGCCTTGATGTAGAGTCAGGAGCAATTCTGAAAAGATTATTTAAATAATATCGATTGACGCTAATTTAATAACTCTTGCGTTATACATATTTTCTATTTATATATAGTCAAATTTCTGGAACTTTTTTTTTAAAATTAATTTTATAAAAAAAAAACAAAAAAATAAAAAGATTAATGAAATTATTTGTAGGTACAAGTTAAAATGTTTCTTTCTAATTAATTTTTATGACAGTGCAATAAAAAGAAAATTGAAGCACACTATGATTTTTAATTTAAAACAAATTAAAAAATTTTAATATAATTTCAATAGAATTTTTATGTCAATTAGTATCGATATTCAATTAAAAAATTTATAATATAAATGATTATTTTCTTTTACGAAAACTTTTTGAATTACGATCTCAATAGTTATTTATCAATTTGGTTCTTAAAAATTTATCAAAATTACTCTTTGATAACTAAAACATTGATTATCAGGTAATAAAAATTTTACAAGCGGCGAATTTTCATTTAATACAATTTCAGTAGATAGAATTTTCTTTTAGTCGAATTTTCATTTTTCTGAATTAGCATTTAATAAAATTTCATTTAAAATGAATCTTTACATAACATTATTTTTAAAGTCATTGTTATAAACAATTGAAATTTTTAGTAAATTTTTTGTTTTAAAAAAATTGTTCTCTTGAATATTATTTTAAAAATTCTTTATTTATAAAATGTTAATAAATGGCCCATATGAAAAATTTTGACCCTATTTAAAATAGTAATAATTTAACTGAATTTTAATTTAGGACTTGAATATTTAAATGCCAGAATTTTTATTTCACCGCAAAAGCTTCAATTGTCCAATTTTCTATTAGCACGAATTGTTATTTTATAAAATTATTAAAACACCAATTTTTCAATTTGACCGCAATTGTAAACGGCCGAACTAACAATTTAGTAGAAATTTTTCGGCGGCGATTTTAAAATTCACCAGTCACAATTTTCATGATAATTCCTAATTAAAGAAATTTTGAAATTCGTTCCGAAATCTTTTTTTTTTCTTCTTTCTTTATTTTTTAACCTATTTTATGTATTTTTTATAATTCGAAAATTATCCTTATTTTAATTACGAAAAAATAATAAAAACAATATATTTGAATTAAAGAATTGTAAATTGAGAATATAAGCTTTAAAAAATTTAATTATTTCCATATTCAGCTATGAAGGTAAAGAATTTTTTTTTTTTTATGAATTTCATGCATAATAAAAAAACATTTATTTAAAAAAATAATACTTTTAAACACACTTCATGTAAAAAAAATAAATTCAAATCGATTTGATTGTTTCCCGGTAATAAAATTTTGTTATAAAACGAATTTTGATAACATTTTTTTTAACAACATTCTATTTTAAATAAAATTAAAATATTCATTATAAAATTAAAGGATATTAAAGGATAAAAGTTCCAGATATTTGTGCATATCTTTATATATATATATATATGGGGGATTCCATATGAAGTGATCAAGGTGAAAAAAGTTTTTTCTCCTATCATGCCCAAACATAGGGCATTTTGTAGTACTATTAGATGGTAATTTTTGGTAAAAATATTTTTCTATTTTAACCAATATTTTTTAGGGGGGAGGGGGTGAAAGTTTTAGGATACCCTTTACTTTAATAATTTCTATCTCTCACACAATTGAATAAAAAAACGATTAACCTTTGAAAATTAGAGATTTGTAGTTACTTGAACGCTGCGAGCTATTATTGTCATCGCGCGCGGTAGCTCGCAGCGTTCAAGTAACTACAAATCTCTAATTTTCAAAGGTTAATCGTTCTAATCCCACTTTTTCGTTTACATGTCCTTATAGGAAAAAACCTCAGCTTTCGTTTAAAAAAAAAAAAAAAAAAATCGGGTCTGTCACCCCAAAAAAGTCAAATTTATTTTTGACTTTCATTTTCTTTGGTCAAAAATTTTTTTTTTTCAAAAATGCATATTACCAATCAAAAGGGCATAAAAAAACCTATCAAAACTGATATTGGCAAAATTTTTTTATTCAATTGTGTGAGAGATAGAAATTATTAAAGTAAAGGGTATCCTAATCCTACCCTTGATCACTTCATATGGAATCCCCCATATATATATATATATGATGTATTCCACGCCAAAGTGTAAGTCCATCTGCAATTGCATCTCCGATTTTTTTTTCTTTTAGTACTAATTGAGACTAGCTTACATGAATTTTTTTCAAAATTTTTTAGCAAGCCGTTTTCGAGTTATGGAATTTGGAAAATTGGAGATCAGTACGTCAAATGAGAAAAATGACTTTTTATCATTAAAAGTCATGAAAATTCTCCAATTTTCAAAATTCCATAATTCGAAATCGGCTTGCTAAAAAAAATTTGAAAAAATTCATGGATGCTAGTCTCAATTAGGGGCCATCCATAAATTACGTTGCGCTTGAAGGGGAGGGGGGGGGGTCAAGAATTTGCAACATTCAATAGAAAAAATGGCGCTAATGTATGCAAAATGTGCAACATGGGGGAGGGGGGGAGTCGAAAATGGTGAAAAATAGTGCAACGTTATTTATGGATGGCCCCTATTAGTACTAAAAGAAAAAAAAATCGGAGATGCAATTGCAGATGGACTTTCACTTTGGCGTGGAATACACATCATATATAGATACAGTGTTTTTTTAAAATTAAATTAAATGATCTTACCGTCCTCGATTGAAGCCTCCACGATTAGAACGAGACATTCCAAATCCAAAGCCACCTCCACCGCCACTGTTTCCAAAATTTCCGCCGTATCCACCTCTGCCTCCTCCGAATCCACTACCACCTCCAAATCCACCTCCAAATCTATAAATGCAAAAAAAAATTAAGCGATATCACGAACAATAAACAATTTCATTCACTCAAATTCAGAGTATTTAATACATAGAAACAAGTTTGCTGATTTACGAAAATATAAAGAGTGAAAAGGGGTGAATTAGTGTGCAAAAGAAAACATTTATTTTATTGCTCACTAAAATATATAAAAATTAATATATTATGAAGGGTAGAATGACAAAAGGGGTCAAGCGCCAATTCACTGTTTTTACAGGAAGTAAAAAAAACATTTTTAAAAATTTTGCAGGTCATTTAAAAAAAAACTGAGAAAACCGTTTCGATATATTAGTATGTTTTAATAAATAAACAACAATTTGTTGAAATAAACCTACATATTAACGATAAAATTAAAAAAAACTGTGGTTCCTTGAGGTTATATCAACTGCGCACATTTTCTTTAAGCATTAATTATAAAAAAAATATACAGTTTAAAGAAAAACTGGAAAATTAGTTTCTTTCTATGGAATCGACGAAATGAATAGAAAAAAAAATTCCTTTAAAAAATTGTTTGTTTTCAAGAAAATTACGAATTAATTGCTTGCTTTGGAATTGAGCAATACTTTCATCTTTAAATTCAATTGTTCACTTAGTATAACCATAAAAATATTTAAAAATTAATAACAAAATGATTTTAAAATTGTTTAAAATTGAAAATACATTATTATTATTATTAATTTTATTAATTAAAATATTATTAAAATAAAATTAAAATAAAATATTAAAATAAAACCTAAAAAAATAATATTTTTTTTTATTTTGATAATATTATTGACTCATCACTTTCTTTTGTTTTTCAATCAGGTTGCAATAAAGTAAATTTAAGGCTATTCTATTAATTTAATTTTTATTAAAAACTGATTTAAATACGCAATAAAAAAGGAAATCCTTCTACAGAAATGTGTAAATGAATTTTCTTGATTTTTTTATGCAAAAACCTCATTTTCGATAAATTGGCGCTTGACCCCTTTTGTCATTCTACCCTTCATATATTATATATATATATATGGGCATTCCATTGAAGAAACCATTAATCGAAAATATATTTTGTTCATATATTTTGTTACTTGAAACTGTTCAGGATTTTAAATAATTTTGCCAAATATTATTACAAAATTACAATTATTTTACAAGTTATTTACAATTAAAAACAAATATGGCACTTTTTTAAAAAAAATTTTATCTCGTAAATTACTTCAGTCAAACTCAAAACGTTTATGATCACAACGATTAAAATATTGAAATTTATTTTTTTTTCAATTTCTCGCACGCGTATTTATTAATATTAGAAAGAATTTTTTTTTTCTAGTCGAATTTTCATTTCTTTAAATTTAAATATTTTACAGAATTCTTTAAACAACGAATTTTTATTTTATACAGAAATTTCATTTGTCCGAATAAATATGTGGCAGAAAAATTTGGACTCTAATTTAAAAATTAACCAATCATAATTTCGTTGATAATTTCTGATTAATTTTAAAATTAGCACTCAAATTTTTCTAACAGAAATTTATTCAGACAAATGAAAGTTCTGTAAAATAAAAATTCTGTCAAATATAAATTCGAAGAAATTAAAAAATTCGTCTAGAAATTAATTCTTTCTATAAGAAATTCTCTAGGAATTTTTTCTGTAAAATAAAAATTCTTTTAAATTTACTATTCTGTGTAATGAAAATTTGAGCAAATAATAATTCTGTCAAAATTCGATGAAATAAAAAGACTGTACAATGAAAATTCGTTTAAGTAATTATTCTGTAATATATAGAAATTTCTGTTAAATCTCGATGAAATGAAAATTTTAATAAATTAATTTTGGAGCTTTTTTATGCGAATCAAGATTTATTTTTTAAATAACAATTTCTCATTGTTTATTTAAAACATGTTAGCGACTAACGATTTTTTTCAAACTTTTTAAAAATAAAATGAACTTTCATAAGTTATGAAACTATAGTTTGAATATAAAAAAGGTATTTTTTTGTTTTTTTTTTTTTTTTTGAGAAAAAAAATTATTGAAGTTTCCTTTTTCTTATTCTTAAAATTATAATACTTAAATAATAATAAGTAATTAATTATATTAAATAAATTAATACATTCAAATTGGTGTTTTTCTTTTTTTTTATACATATAATATTTTAAACAAATAAAATACCTGGAATTCTCATGGAATTTTATTTTTATTCATGAAATTTTTGAAATGTCAAGAAAAAATTTTTAATAAAATTGTTGAAATTTATTTTCTTTCAATTTCTTACACGCGTATTTATAAATAATTATATTTAAACGAATATACTTTTGACTACATTTTTATATAATCAAATTTTAATTTGTTATTTGTATTTAAATTTGTGTATTTAATTGAATTTCCATTTTTAATTAAATTGTTCTTTAGCCAAATATTAATTTAACAAAATTTAAACGAAATAGTTTTTGACAGAATTTTCGTTGAATTAAATTTTTATTTACATAATTTTTTATTTCAAAGAATTTTTATTTAATCAGTATTTTCTTCCATGTAAAACCCCTATAGTTAATAACTGATAAGACTTTTTTGAGAATTTACTATCAACGACGCGTGTTTAATAGATATTCTTTGTATATTAAAATTTACATTTTTATCTTGTTCAAAAAATGTTCTTCTGTGTATTGAAAATTTGAGCAAATAATAATTCTGTCAAAATTCGATGAAATAAAAAGACTGTACAATGAAAATTCGTTTAAGTAATTATTCTGTAATATATAGAAATTTCTATTAAATTTCGATGAAATGAAAATTCTAATAAATTAATTTTTGAGCTTATTTATGCGAATCAAGATTTATTTTTTAAATTACAATTTCTCATTGTTTTTTTAAACATGTTAGCGACTAACGATTTTTTTCAAACTTTTTAAAAATAAAATGAACTTTAATAAGTTATGAAACTATAGTTTGGATATAAAAAAGATGTTTTTTTTTGAGGAAAAAAATTATTGAAGTTTTCTTTTCCTTATTCTTATAATTATTATACTTAAATAATAATAGGTTATTAATTATATTAAATAAATTAATACATTCAAATTGGTTTTTTTTTTCTTACATATAATATTTTAAACAAATTAAATTATTTTTGTTGAAATTAATTTAATTAATAAACAACTTTTTGTTTCAACTCAATTATTTTTGACAATTGCAAACTTTTTACAACACCTGAAATACCTGGAATTCTCATGGAATTTTATTTTTATTCATGAAATTTTTGAAATGTCATGAAATTTTTTAATAAAATCGTTGAAATTTATTTTTCTTCAATTTCTTGCACGCGTATTTATAAATAATTATATTTAAACAAATATACTTTTGACTAAATTTTTAAATAATCAAATTTTAATTTGGTATTTTTATTTAAATTTGTGTATTTAATTGAATTTCCATTTTTAATTAAATTGTTCTTTAGCCAAATATTCATTTAACAAAATTTTCCATTTAAACGTAATGTTTTTTACAGAATTTTCATTGCATAGAATTTTTTTTATAAAATTTTGTATTTCAAAGAAGTTTTATTTACCTATATAATTAGTATTTCATAGTATTTTCATTTAACCGAATTTGAAGTTTATTTATTTATTATTTTTCAATGAACCCAACTGTAATTTTATGATGTTTTTTCGGTTTTTGATATATTATAGAAATTAAATTTCTTATAATCTGGAATTCGTAGAATTTTTATTAACCAACTTCTTTTCATCGATCAATACTTTACAAGATAAAAAATTGATAAAAAAAATTACCATAATTATTTAATTGAAAATAACTTGTAAAATAATTGAAATTTAGCAATAATAATTGACAAATTTATTTAGAACTCTAAACATTTATAAATTAACAAAATATGAACAAAATCTATTCTCGACTAATGTTTCCTTCCGTGGAGTGATCCATTATAATATACTAAATTGATATAAAATAAAGAAAGAGTTTGCACAACAAATAAAATTTATGCGAATAAGTGATGCATTTTTTAAACAAATAAAAATTTTTTAAAATTAGAAATTTTTAAATTAGAATACAGAAAAAAAAGTTTCACCATTAGAATATAAATTTGTTTAAACTATTTTTTTAGTACATATTTTATTTTCATTTTTTAATGAATTTTAATAAAATGGAAATAAATTCCATAGATTTTTAATTTTTTTTTTTTTTTTTTTATTCAAATGGTGGAACTTTCACATTATCAATTTAGAAAGAGAAGAAAAGATTTCCTAATCAAGAATACTGTCAAAATTATTTAAAAACTCGCTTACGTTTTTCGGGATAATGGTAGTGGTACGATTCCGGTAGTACTGGTAAATCAATCGAAAAAGGGAAATGGTAAAATTCAGAAATATTATAAATTTTCCTCAAGCAAAGAATAAATTAATTTTTAATAATCATTTCCCGAGTCTAGCAAAGGGAATAACAATAATAATAATATGAATATTTGCCAATTACTTAGTGAAAATGAATTTTGTTAAAAGTTTTCAAAATGATTATTTTTATATCAAATTTTTTTAATTTTAAAAAATAAACATTAAAATTATGATTTTTTTTTTGTTTAAAAAGAAATAAAAAAAAAAAAAACGCATTTAAGGAAATGTATCAAAGTAGAATTTTTCAATCACAAAGAAATAGGCATAATATTTAAAATAAATTGCTTTAAAAAATTATTCAATTAAAAAACAAAAAATGATTTTAATAAATATAATTTAATATAATGGAATAAAAGAAAGACTTACCCAGAATTGAAATTGGAAAATCCATCTCGTGATGATTCTCTTGCTGGAGCTTTATTACCAGGATGTTCTGAAAGTTGAGGACGCTTTGGATCTTTTAAATAATTGTTGAAATATTCAGCTTCTGCTTTTACTTCTGATACTTTTTCTGCATGTTTATTAAAAATATGCTTGCGTATAAAATCAGGTCCCTTAAATTTCTTTCCACTAAGGGGACAAAGCCATTTGTCTTTTGATAATTCCTGAGTGTTTGCTTGAACAAATTTTTCTACCTCGCTGTAGGAAACAAAAAAAAATATATATATATATTTACATATAAATAACAATTATGTAACTGAAAATAAATAAATTTATTTTATTCAACGAAACGTACGCTTCGGCATCTTTGGCTCCTAATTTATCAAAATCATCGGCAGTAACGGCAACCATTGGAGCAAGGAAAGCTGACATTTTTGTTTCAAAATTACGTGAATATTCTGATAATTCAGTGCATGAAACTTTTGATGATGGTGGTTGTCCTCTGACATGCATTATTCCACACCTATTTGGCATCTCGTCTTCATTTGGATATTCACAATGATTATAATAATCAACGGAATGTACAACTCTCAAATATAAAATTAATCTATCCAAAACTTTTATTAATATTGGATCTCTTTCAATTAATCCATCAGAATCGCCACCAAGTTGTCCTTCTTCATGATCACCAGACATTCCCAATAATTCTTCTTCTTCAGCTGATGCTTCTTCAATTAGATAATCGGTTATATTTTTCAATACAGGATTTTTCGATGACAATCCAAAAGACTAAAAAAGAACAGTAAATTTTTATTTACCCCTGCTATTTTATTTTATTCTTATTATTTCTCTATCCCAAAAACGAAAGATAAAAAAAATCTCAAAAGTGACCTTTCAATCTCTTATGAAAATTATAATTATACTTGTAAAACTAAAAAAAAAACTCACAGCTTGTTCAATTTCCATTGCCATTTGATCAGTTGTCTTTGTTTCCTTCTTTTCATCTCCCTTGTCATGATCTTTCTTTTCATCAGCCCAAAGTCCTACACGACTATCTAAATTATGTACAATTTTTGCACTTAATTTGATATCGTTTCTGACTACTTGTTTGTGTGCTGTCATTCCATTTACAGCGCGTACACGTCGAGAGAGATCTCTATTTACTATTGCACCTAATTCGCAGTCTCGCAGCTGTTTAAAAAAAAATCCATTGTTTAATTAAATTTTGTAACTAATAAAATAATTATTTGCATTAAAAAAAAAAAAAATTCTTTGTCTACTTAAAAAAAATGTTTATGTATATCCAAAAATAACTAATTTCGCAATGTTACTTGAATATAATTAATAAAATTGCTAATAATAAAATAATAATAAAATTATTTGCATTAATAAAAATAATGCTTTGTGTATCTAAAAAAAAAAAAATGTTTTCAATTACCCGAATATTATTTAGACTCCAACAAATTTCTTTGATGTTTACTTGACGTTCAAATGAAACCCATCCACGACGGAACCAACGTCGTTCAGGTTGAGGATCTGCTATTGCAACTCTCAGGAATCCAGGGAATCGTTTGCACATCTAAAAATAACAGAAAATTCCGCTTTTAATTCAAACTCGACTTTTTTTTAAGTATATATAAATTTAAAAGGCTGGAATATTTAAATTTTAAATTTACCGCTTCAACTTCGGCTTTAGTTATTGTAGGTGCCAAATTCCTTAAGAAGATACTGCTTGTTTTATGAAGTGCTCGAGGTTCTTTTTCTTTATCTTCACTCGCTAAATCGATAACAGCTTCAGGTTCTAATGTTTCTTTTTTCTCATTTACGTTTTCCTCCTCGACAGGCGATTCTTTTTCTTTCTTCTTCTCCTTCTCTTTTTCTTTCTCTTTATCGTCGTCATCGTCCTCCTCCTCATCTTCTTTTTTTACCTTCTCTTTTTCGTCCTCGTCGTCCTTCTCTTTATCTTCTTCTTCTTCTTCCTCCTCCTCTTCTTCTCCTTTAGTCTCTACATCTAAAATAAAAAAAAAATCAATTTTTTTCCACAAATAAAAAACTAGAAAAATTACAATTATTATTGAAAGGACTTTGGCTTGTTTAATATTAAATAAATAAAATAAATTCTAATTACTTGATTCAGTTGCCGGTTCATTGTCTTCGCTATCTGAAGAACTGGAACTACTATTACTGCTACTATTACTATTACTTCGCTTTCGTTTTTTGACATTAGATTCAGAAATTTCAGCTGGAATAAAATTTTAATATTAATTTAAATTAAACTATTATTTATTATTTTACTTAAAATAAAAATTTTACAAACCTTTGTCCTTTTCTTTTTCAATAGTATCAATTTTTTCCGATTTTTCTTCCTTTTGTACTTCATCTTCATCTTCCATTTTTTCGGTCTTCTCTTTCTCATCAACATCTTCTTCTTCTTCTTCTTCTGTTTCTTTTTTAGAATCCTTCATTTCAACATCACCATTTTGTTTATCTTCTTCACTTTCAACGCGAGGACTTTTCTTACTCTCCGTGCTATAATTGAAATGTAATATTTTTTTTTAAAAAAAAGAGAAATTTATAGTAATTTTTTGAATCATTTACAATGATGAAGAGAAAATTTTAGAAATTTCCAAAAAGGAAAAGAATTTATGGGATAAAAATTGTAAATTTTTGTCCATTTTTTAAAAGTAAATAAATAAAGAGAAATTCCAAAAAATTAGAATATGAAGAAAAATATAGTTTTGAAAAAAGAAAATAAAAAGTCAAAAAAATTGAAAGAAAAAATAGAAAAGTTTAGAAATTCTATTAAAAAAAAAAAAAAAAAAAAAAAAAAAAAAAAAAAAAAAATTATAAATTCTCAAAATAAAAGGAAACTTTTCAGGAAAAATCGACAATTTTAGAAATTCTCAAAATAAAAGGGAGAATTTGCGGAAAAATTATTTTCTTTACCAATTTCTAAAAGTAAATAAATATATAAATTTTAAGAATTCAAAAAAAAAAAATTAGAATTTGAGAGAAAAATTGTTTTAAAAAATGAATATTTAACAAAAAGAAAAGAAAAATTTCTTCTTGTACTATTTGTACAAAAGGGCTTGTCCCGTTTATTTTTGAAAATAAATAAATAAAAATAAAATTTAAGAAAATAAATACTTTTAGAAAACAAGAAATTAATAGAAAAATCAATAAACTTAGAAATTGTAAAAAAAAAAAAAGAAAGAAAAAATTAGTTGAAATTCTATTAATCTTTCGTTTTAAATATTGAATTATTTTTACAATTTTGACTATTTTTCATTGACAATTTTTTTTACACGCCTTTTTCATGACTTTTTGAATCTTTCGCATGGATTTTCAAAAAACTTAATTTTTTTTTTTTTACAAAATACAAATTCTAAATTGGACAAAAATTGAAATTTTCTTTTTTTTATTGTCCTGAATATTTTTAGAATCATGTTATTAAAATGTTTTTTAATTTTAAGTGATTTAATTAAACTTAAATTGTTATTATTAAATTCAATTTAAATAATGAAAAATAAGTATATAGATACTGTAAGAAAGAAGTTGTTCTTTTATTTTAAATTAAAATCAATAATAAATAAAATATTTAATTTATTAAAATAAATAATAAATATAAAAAAATATAAAAATAATAATTAAATTTATATTATATTAAGGAAATAAATTTGAAAAATTTATAAACAAAAAAATTAACTTTTAGCAGCACAATGCTGAAAAAAGTATTTAAATAGTAGTAAACTATTAAAAAAAAGCAGATAACAGTAGTTTTTAGTAAATAAGTGCGCAAAACCTGAAATTTGATGTATATAAAAATTTTGTTTCACCTCTCTTCGACTTTTTTTTCAACGGGTGCCTTATTTTCTTTGACCTCTTCCTTCTTTGAAACGGCAATTGGTTCTGTATGTGTCACAGGTTTAGGAGGTTTTACATCTAAAATTTTTAAATCCTCCTCTGTTCCTCCTTCCAATTTTATAACGACAGAATCCAAAAGACGTAGTATTTGATCAGATTGCTCAATATCAACAGAGATTCTCTCAATATTACCACTTTCAAGTAAATCCAAAAAGACATCCACACGTTTCTAAAATTAATATTTTCATTAAAAAAATAAATAAAATAAAAGAAAAAAATGTTTCTGAAATTTAATTTGCTATGAAAATCAATTTCTATTTTTTTTTTTTTTTACCTTCAACGTGGACAATTGTTCATCTTTTTTTTTAACAGACTCCTCTGGATGATATTTTATCTTGAACCTAACAGCGACAATAAAACAAAAAAAAGTAATTCAAAAATTTTTTTCAAAATAAATGTTTATTTCTATTTACATTTAATGATAATTCAAACCACTTAATTGACATTTTCAGTCAATTTTTAGGCAAAAATATATTTTTCCTCTTGAATTTTAATACTCGAGAAGATTCAGAAAAAAAAGATTAATATTTAAAGCGAATTATTTCAAATAAGATTCCTCGTAAAAGAGATTTTTTTTTTTTTTTTTTTTTTTTTTTGATAAAAGAAAACGTAATTTAAAAAAATGTAATAATATATTGAAAAATATTTATAGATTTTAAAAATTCCTAAAAGAACTATTAGTTGTTATAAGAGTTGACATGGGTTTTTCTTTTACAGAATGCAGCCTCACCTGATTTTCTTTTTTTTTTCATATATTTTGCTCGCAATTAGATTTTTTCGACGATATTTGTTTCGTCAAAGGTAATGTTTCAATTTTATTTTTTTTTTCTCTAAATATTGTGCGGGTTTAAAACGCGGCCTACATGAGCATATTTGGGCTTTGCGCGCCCAGCTCATTAAATCTCATTTAGCTAATTCTCATATGTACAGCTCAATTCTTCAATAATGATGCGCGTAACGCGATAGTGAAAAAATAAACGAACGAAGGTGGCCCTTTGCCCAAAGCATAGAGCGATGAAGGCTGTGCGCTGTAGGAATAGACAGATATCTTGGTCATAGAGGATGTATTCTGAAATGCGTTGTTCTCACATCGCGAAAACGCAACCATTATATTTTTAACAATTAATCATTCATTAAAATAAAAAACAAAATGAAAATCAGTAATTTCATTATTTTTAAATTTCAATTAATATTTATCGACAATCATTTGTTAAAATATATTGGAAACGTGATGATGATGATGATGATGATTGATTGCAAAAAGAAAATTAATTAAAATTTAGCATCAGCAATGAGATTTCATCACAATACTCAGAATGCACCCTTTGTTAAAACCTTAGCTAACGTGCTATTTCAAAAAAAGAATTTAAAAAAAAAACCTCCTGAAGTCTGAATTATTCTAGTAATTGTTTTATTTTTTTTTTTCAAAAAAGAACATAATAAAAATAAAAATATTTTGTTAATTTTAATATTATGTGAACAAAAATTTTTAATTCCAGTTACAATTTCCAAGAAAAGTAAATAAAACAAAAAAAAAAAAACACACTTACCATTCTTCGTCTTTGTGAGCAACAAAAAATTCGTTCAATTGTTGTCGTCGGAATTCTAGTTTATATTCATTGTACCGTTTAATTGCTTCTTCGTCAGTGATTGTATCTTCTTGAGTGCCCAAAAATGCTTTAAATGTCATCATCGGTGGTTGTGTTTCAACATTGGAATTATTAAAATTCCCTGAAACTTCACGACTGTAAAGAAAGTAAATTAAACAAAAATTAAATACATTTTTAAGTAAACTTTAAAATAAAAAAAATGTAATTTACATATTTATATGTAAATAAATAAAATATAATAAATCAAAATTAATTAAAAAAATAAAATTTTTTTAAAATAAAAATTTTTCACCTTATTTTTGCTAATAACTGAGGAGTTAAGCGACTACATTTTCGAATTGATTTCATATTGATATATGAATTAATTTTCGTCTCTTAATATTTTATATTTACTGCGCGATTTCTAGGTTAACTGTTATTAGAAATAATAATAAAAAAATATATATATAAAAAAAAACAATTGCAGACAGAGCTTTTAGTAATTTTGTAATTTTTTGTAATTTTAAAATAAAATAATAAAATAATTCGAAATAAATTCTTCGAAAATTGAATTACATTTGAAATTTTGAATTTGAAATAATTTAAACTAATGTCAAAACTTTCAATTAAAAACTATTTAAAAATTGAATGATTTATATTAAATCCAAATTATAAAAATGGATTATTTCCATTATTTATAAAAATTAAACTGTTTGCAAATTTTATTATTTTCAAAATTTTTAATGAATTTCTTTGATAATTTACTGTTTTTAACAAAATTTATAATTATATTAAAAATATTGGTTTTTGCACTAATAACTCAGAGAATTTATTTGCACATTAATTGCATCTCTTCGAAATATCAAATCATTTTTAAAAATTAAAATTATTTTTTTTTTCGAATTTTCTATAAAGTTTTTTATGCATTCAAATATTAAAAAAATTTCAACTAAAAATCATCTAAAATTTTATTAAACTATAAAAGAAATTAACTGCTAATCTTGTAAAATTTGATTAATTAAAAAAAAATTAATTAAAATTAAGCGCCAATTTATTTATTTTCAATAAGTTTAATAACATTCTTCGGAAATTAAGTAAATAAAAAAAAAATTTAATTAAATATTCTTTAATACTTAATTATTGTATCGCCTGAAATACAATTTTTTACAAATAAAATATTTTAATATAATATATTTTAAAATACAATATTTACGAAAATACTTAAATAATATTATACGAATATTTTTATGACTTAACTTATCAAATTATGAGGCATTATTTTTATATTGCATTACGCTGCTTAGAAACCGAAATAATTATGATTTATAATGTTTTTGCAAATTGAAAATATTTTTCTTCAGTAATACTTTTTTTAAAAATATGAATTACATATTGAACAGTTTTAAATTTTTAATTCAAAAATGTTATTTTCTTTTTGATAAAAATATAAATATTTCCTGATGCTTGTATTATTAAATTTATTGTTTATGTATTTATTAAAAAATAAACTATTTAAAAATTAAATTTTAAAAATGTTACGTAAGTAAACATAAATTTGATTTTTAAATAAAAAAAATCGGATTTTTTTAAAAATAACAGGCTTTGCAGCATAAAAATTACTGAAAAAAGGGGAATAGGGGAAATTTTGTTTGAAAAAAGGGGACAAATAGGGAAAAATATAAATCTATATTTTCCTTAACGGCATGTGGGAGAAACCCACGTGACCTAGTATGGGGAAATGTGTTTTTCACAGTAAACGAATCCGCCCTATTTGAATTAGTTAAAAATGACTGTGAATTAATCAAAAATGACTATTTCAGACTTAGAGAGTATAATGAGTCACTCTCATTTCTCTATATTGAAGTTAATCCCACAATAAAATATAGACAAAATTTTCTTATAAGTACACAAATCATTACCAATTAACAAAAAATTTTTAAATTTCCATGACATCAATCTTAGTTTTCATGTGAAATGTTTCATATCTTTTATTTGATAACTATATATGAGTAACAATTTTATTACACTTAAAATAAATGAAATTATCAGAAAAAATAATTCACCTGAAATATATGTTGTTTACTGTTAATAAGAATTTTAGTTAAAATCAAATATAGTGGAAGTGAAATGTTGGGTAATCTAAGTCACACACATATATATATATGACTCGATTTTAGTAAAAACACGATGAGTATATTGTTGAATTCAACTGTTTTAAGAGGTTCCATTAAGACAATTTTTAATTATTTTTTCTCATAATTTATTTATTTATGGAACATGGTCGATATTTATTACGTGTAAGTATAATGAAACATTTCATTCTAATTTTGTGCATTAAGTTTAATAATAATTAATCTCTTGAAATTTTTTGGTGCAAATTCTAGATAAAAAAAACTGTTTTTTTTAAATATATTGCTTTAATTGTAAAATTATAAAATATTATTTTGTAATACTGCGATGGAATTACTAACTTTGATATCAGAAAGTATATGATTTTTCATAATAAAATAAATCAATTATCCAGATAAATTTTTAAAAATTTTCTTTATATTTTGTGAAAAATTTTTAATTCATTATTTATAATTATTTTTATTTTAACATGTTCTATATATTTTTAAAATATAAAAATGATAAACAAATTAAATTGATAAATTAACTTTTATTGTTTTAGAGTTTTTGCCATCTACTTAATAACTTCGGCAAAAATAAATAATGACAATATTCCGGAGGTTTGTGAAACCAAAGAATGCCATTCATTAGGTAAGTTTATTATAATTCACATTGGAAAATTAAAACAAATATAAGATAATAAGTACCAGCAATTATAAGACGACTTTTCAGCTAATTTTTGAGATTTAGTGTATATTTAAACAATTATTTTAAGAAACTAATACGAAATTTTTTGCTGCATTAGAAAGGTAAAAAAGTTGTTAAAACAGTGCTTTTAATATCATTTTTATATTAAAATAATAAATTATTGATAAAATTGTAAATAATTAATTTGTACCAATTATTATGAGACATGAATTTTATGATGCACCTTTGTCCCATAAATGCTGTAATTTTTTGTACGAATGTATATGAAATACTTAAGCATAAAAAGCTTATATTTGTGTCCAATCAAAATTTGAAGGGTATAAAAGGCATTAAAATAAGCTGCAACGCTTATTATTTTAATCCAATTTTGCTTATTTTAATACTAAAATGGATTAAAATAAGCAAAATTGGATTAAAACAATAAGCGTTGCAGCTTATTTTAATGCCTTTTAATTTTCAGTGATGTTAGATTCAGTTGAATATTTTCAACTTTTAATTATTTGTCATTGTTTATTTATGTGCTGTATAATTAAAATAAATAAAGATTTTATTTCTGAATCATAATAATTGGTATTTTTACCTTATTTTAATATAGAAATGCTATTAAAAACACTGTTTTAGCAAGAGACATACACCTTTTTAATGCAGCAAAAAAATTCCTATTAGTTTCTTAAAATAATGATTTAAATATACACTAAATCTCAAAAACAATATACCTAAAAAGCCATCACCCACCTAATTGAACATTATTTTTGATAACGTTTCAAAAACATAAATTTTCCTTTAATTTTTAAACTACGCACACAATTATTGAAAACGTGTTTAACAAAAATATTGTGTTTTACAGCGGAATTAATTAAAAAGGGAATGAATGATAACGTAAATCCTTGCAATGACTTTTATTCCTACGTATGTGGTTCATGGCAATCTAATTATCCGGTTCCTGAAGGCGAAGAATTCTGGAATTTATATAAAATAAATAAAGAAAAAAGAAAATTTATTCTAAAAGGTAGGATAGAGAGGGGCAATGGCGCTATATACAGAGATTTTTTATTTAAAAATTTAATATAGTACCCGTTTCAATTTAGGGAAAAGGAGAAAATTATTTAAGTTTCATACAGTCAGTTTCAAAAATAAAAATTCTCGATTATCAAAATCAAATTGAGTGTAAATTTTGTACTCAATTTGAAATTATGTTTTTTCTGTATAAGGAAATTTATATTTTTTTTACTCTTCATTATGGTATTTTTTCAGAAATTATAGAAAAGCCACTAAGTTCTGAGGATACTAAGCAATTAATTTTCGAGAAAAAATTGTACAAATCTTGTATGGATGAAGGTAATTATTTTACAAAATTTTAATTTAAATTTCTATACCTAATGATGAAAAACTTTAGTTGTTCCAATATTAATTTATTTTTTCGTTCTTATCATTTATAAAATTATCTAATTCTTTTATGAGTCTAATTCATAGTCAACAATTTACACTAATAATAAATATTCTTCTTTGACAACAAAACATTTTGTTCATAAAACACAAAGGTTTTAAGATGACTGAACAAAATTTTTGTTTCTCAAATCAATGCAGCAAACTGTTTTGCTGTCAATGCCAAATATTTTTTTCCGTACACTGAAAACAAAAATTATATTTAATTTAAATAAGTTTATATACCTGATTCGTTATGTATTTTCAAGAACATTTTTTTTCTAAACACCATTTAATTGGAAGCAAGTAATTTTTAATTAAAACAAATAAAATTAATTTTAATCAATAATTTTTTTTGAATTTCAATCAAATATTTATTATTTAACTCAGACACCTTCAGAACGATAATAATTATTCATTGCAGAAAATATCTGCTTTGATAATAAATATAGCCGATTGTTGTTAAATCAAATAATTTTTATTTTCAATGAAATAACAATAATATTTAATGAAAACTTGAAATTAAAAAATATATTATGAATAATTTTAGATAGAATTAAGAGCAGAGGATTGGAACCATGGAAGAAAATTATAGACAAGATTGGTGGTTGGCCAATGGTTATGAATACAACTGAATGGGAAAAAAAAAATATCACTTGGCAAGATGTTGTTTATTATTATGTCGATATTATAGGAGGATATGGTTTATTTAAGATAGGTACTACATATAATCGAAAAAATTCCACACTTCAAATGATTGGGGTAAGAAGCAATTAATCTTTTACAATAATAAATATAAATACATATTGAGCTGAGTTGGTCAAATTTAGTAAAAATCACTGATTGAAATCATGAAAAGTAAATCACTTAATTAAAATCAGTGAATTTTTCACTAATTCAGTTTTAGAGAGTAT